AAGAACACACCATTCTGTTGTGTTCTCCTCTTACACCAAGGGTGAGAGCTGGAACAACCGTATGATGAAACCAAAATACACACAGAAAAGGCCAAATAGATAAGACAGAAGAAAGCAGCTAACCAGACACATCCTGCAGAGCTGAGTTACCCATTTTTCCATTCCTCTGCCCTGCCATGAAACAGGCCAAGGGCAGCTCTATGCCCCAGAGGATGTTGTGCTCAGATACATACCTATAACTCAGGAGCACTCATCACTCCTCAGCACATACTTCCTGACCCAAGACTTGTCCCTTCTGGGGTTTCCTTTGAGCTATTCTTCACGTTACTGCAATTCAGCGAGGAGCCCCAAGTCCTGAACACATGGGGTATGTGCCCACAATGCCAAACACAGACACAGCTTCAACAAACGCAAAGAGAAACTCTGAAATGCATTCAAGATCAGCACAGCATTCTTCTGAATGAGCTTCACAATCTGGCAGGGTTCCTTTCAACATCAATATCAATTTCCTCCATCAACAGGAGACAGAATAATAGCAATTTCCTCTGTTTAATACAGCCCTTAATTGTCCCAGATCAAATACCGGCTCCCAGAGACTATTCATTCTGCTCTATAGGTAACTGTGTCCTAGGCAAAATGCAAGAACTTTTATCTAGCAAATGTTAAATGCAGCAGGAAGGCCAGAAGGTGTGGCTCAGGACTGCTAAAAACATTAACCAACCACATCACTGCACTGGCTCTAATGGAACTCACACAGCACTGCTGGGAGCAGCACGGGCACTCCAGTGACCAGAAAACACTTGCGAGCTCCTGCTTATCTGAGAGGCAGCAAATCCATACAACCACTGTCAGATCAGGCTTTTTTCCCCTCTTTGTATCAGCTCACGATGCCTCTGATCTCCCTCCTAATGACAAAGTCCTCACTTATTTCAAGAGAGCTCAGCAAGACTGAGCAGAAAAAGAGCTAAAAAAGGAAATGCCAAGTGAGTCATTAGTGGGTGGAGGAAAGAACCGTATAGTAAGTAGTCTTCAACTTTTACTCCTTTAAAATAAACAGTGCCACAAATGAAAGGAATCCTTTGACACTAGTGAAGATGGAGCAGTAACAAGCCCCACACAGTCTGTAGGAATGATGAATTCCTCCACTCAAAGGGGTTACTTATGCTAGACGCCAATAAGCACACAGGTAAAATTAATCTGCTTGTTTAACTTCTAGATGGGATTTCCAATATTAAATACAAGATCAGACTCAGAGAGAAGCAAGCAAACCAGCACCAAACCAGAATATTTTCCCCAATTTCAAGCAGCTAAGAAAATTCCTTTATTTTTTCCATCTTTTGGCTGCTACTGCCAGCATTATGACCTTTGAGTCAAGCAGGTGCTCAGATGCTGAAAGGGAGGAGAGTTTTTTTCCCCATCATTAGGTTTCACTTGACCAGCAACCTGTTCAAGTGAAAGGTGTCCCTACCCACGGCAGGGGGTAGGAGTGGATGATCTCTGAGGTCCCTTCCAAGCCAAACTGTTCTATGACTCTGTGATTAACCAGAGCAGGCACGGTGCCATGAGCTTTCTAACCCTGCTACAGCACAAATATGTTCCCTTTGGAGCATACTTCAGTGTGGACTTTCACGCACTCATCTCTTTGATTCATTTTGCCCTGGGTTACCAAAACACAGCCCTCTTTCCTAGGCCTGGTTACTACAGCAACAGTATATTTTTGAGTTTGGTAGCAACACATTGCAGGCACCAAAAAAAAAAAAAATCTGCCATTAGTTCAAGAAACATGAAGCTGCAAGTCAGCAGCCCATGCAGAGAAATATTCCTGTAGTATCTCACCCCTGCCTCTCTAATTAAGAAACTCTAAGAATCCCCACCTCCCTGGCAGAGCACAAGCCTGAGCAACCTCTGACTTCAAAGGATGCACAGCAGAGGTGCACTGCCCACAACCTCCTGTGTGCCTGTCACTGCAGAGAAACCACAGGAGAAATCTGATGGGCTTCATAGCCACAAGAATATTACACTCCACAGATGCTATTAGTTCCACTAATGATTAAAGCCAAAGCATCACTTTAAGCACCATATGGTATCACATCTGCATTCTTCTGCACACACATGAGTATTAACACACAAAAAAAAGGTTTGGGGGGGGTGTTCTCAGGGTTTGGACTTTTTTTTTAAAATAACCAGAGAAGCTGTCTTGTATGGTTATTTCATTGCAAAGTGACTGTATTAGATATTATATTATTACTCCACTTAACTTTCATACAACTCAGAAGGAGGAAAAAAAAACCCCTCCTCAGTGCACACAGTTATTTCTATCTAATTCACTGCCTTGGGACACGAGGGTTTTTATTGCAGAGGTGAACAATGACTAGTCCTTAGCTGTCAGGTTGAGAGACTGCTTCTAACCCTCAGCTACAGTCCAGCCCAATGCAGCACACATGGAATCAACAAAAGCAATACACTAAGGACAGCACAAACTGGTCAATCTGATCATTTCTCAGCAGCAGCCAGCCAGACATTCTAGGAAGTTCAGCCAGACTATTATCACTATTATTAATTAGCTCCTATCCTGAGAGAACGATCTATGTCAGATTTGCCCCTAATTTCAACTAAGGGAACTTACCCAAAAAACATTTCATCTGGTCACACACAGCCCCCACTGAGTGAGTGTGCTATTATGAGAAAGCAAACTGATATAAATATAGCACAGTGACAGTATCCACTCTGCAGTTATTTCCTCTGCGAAACAGAGCAGAATGAAGTGGGTAAGCTGCTCAGCCAGCTTTCTTCTAAGGCCACTGAAAACTGCATTGATGACATCAACAAAAATAATCAGTTAAAGACAAATCTGAGCAAATAATTCTCAAACAACATTTAAACTGAGCAATCTGACCTCCTCTCAAGTATCCACCACCATAAAATGACATTTCCACTTGATTCTTCTCCATTTATATTCATTCATGGAATAGATTTTTTTCCTGGTAGCTTTTACTTTCAACTAGCCAAATTGATTGCAAGTTGACAGATGAATTAATCATCCAATATCTAAAACCCTACTTGTGATGGATATGCTAGGACAGGGCAGAAATTAAACTTCATTGCTGGTTGAGTGTGCATACACAGGCACTCGTCTGTAATCCACAATTCAGATGTAGAAATCCAGGTTATGATTTCCATAGCTAAAGCCAGAAAGCAAACAATCCCAAAATGCTTGGGGTTTTTTTGGTGTGGTTTTTTTCCTTTGTTTGCTTTTAAACTCCACATGTAGTAACAAATGTGGTTAGACAACATCCTTATCTCTGCAGAAAAAATAAAAAAGCAGCATATAGTAAGCAGAAATAATTTTCTGGAAGTATTTTCCCAGCTACAGTTGAACTGCCAACTTTAAACACGTTATTTTAGCATACAAGATGAATGTAGCTCAGGAAGAAGAATCACTCTTCCTAAGCCTCCTCTCATGCACCCTCCTCCAGCCTGTTCTCAAGACATGAAGCATTGCTTAAGAAATGCCCACGGAACAGACTGAAAGAAGTTGCTGCTTCTCTATATAGTTATTTATAATAGATAATCTTAGAATCACTCTTAATTCCAGCTCATCATTTATGGTGTTGGCACAGTTGCTCCAGTGAATTCAGTCTCATTATTCACCTTTGGGTTGTACATTATCTTGTATTTTATACATCATCCTTCTTTGTCCAGTGGATCCCTCACAAACACTTACAGAACCAAGTGAAGATGAATAATGACCCAAGGACAAAGCTAAATGCTGCAATACTATGATTTTATGGCCAGCTACAGAAAAGCAGGGACATGTTTTGAATACACAGTGAAGCAGCAATACATCCATGAATGCCACACTACATAGTGACTTTCCACCAGGCTTCTGCACTATTCCAAGACATTAAACAACACTTGGAACATCAGCAGGACTGCTCAGCTTTGCTGTCAATGGCCACACTTAGCTTGGAAACTCGATAGAAATGTCTTTGGAAAAAAAACCCAAACAGGAATAGGACCACCCATTCAGCTGAAAGTCACCCAAGATGGGGATGATGGGACAAGTGCACACTTCTGGTTACCAGGATTATAATAACAAGTGCAGAAGGATCTCATGCACTCCACTGATTCATTCCATTGGAGCAGTTTACCTAGTGACAAGTCCTGCAGAAAGAGGAATGGGCCAAGACGATAGATTTTTTCAAAGAAAACTTCACCAACAACATTCTCTTTAAACTTGCTACGAGGGGGAACTACTGCTGAAACCCATAAGCACTTTACCCCAGTAACTGAGATGTTTCACTGGGGAATCAAAGGCAAATTCCACAGCACAACCATCTGAAAGAATTTTGCAACATGATCACCAGAACCATGAGTTCTACTTCAGGCTCACTGTATCTCAAAATATACCTCACCAGCTTCCACATCCCATTCTGCTACAGGGATTACATTATCCAGAGTCCTGCCACAGCATCCTGGGTCACAGCACCTACTCTGTAGCTGGCATTTCCTTGCTAAGATGTGACAGTGGTAGTGACAACACGTGTGTCCTCTCAGTCCCCTTAGACTGCAGCGATCACTCACACACACGCTTTGGAACAGGAAGAGAACTAGGGTATCAGATGGGGGAAAAAAACCAAAATAAAAATATCAATCATCATCACACACACCACCTGAAAATTCTTCAGCTAAAACTGAGCCATAAGCCACCAATGTAAGAATTTAAACCAATCTGGGAAAACACAAAAGAAAGAATGAGCCTCTGCCCAGTCATCATGGCTGGTTGATACAACCTTTACCACTGCTCCAATATAAGCAAACATTACTGTGTTTCCCTGCTGCTTGATGTAGAGACCCATGCCAAGTTACTTCCACGAGCACAGCAGCACATGGAGAAGAGGCCTTGAGGCATCCTTTCCACTGGCATTAAACAGGGAACAAGAGCCAGATGCCAGCCCACAAGGGAAGTCTTCTGGGAGAAGAAGTTCAGAGAGCCTTACCTATGTACAGGGAGGAATCTTTCCGCCTCACATGGTCATCGATGTAGGAAACTCCCAGGGGCTGGACAGGGGTAGCACCAATGCCCAGGAGGACCTGTGCCCCGATGAGCAGCAAGTACATCATGTTGGTAGCAGTCCTATTCCTGCAGATAAGGTCCGGGTCTGGTCTCTCGTCGCTGGTGGACCCGTTGACAGCGCACACATCCCTCCCTTCAGCTCCCCAGCGTATTTCTCCCGATTCGTATTCGTACTGGTGGGTCAGAAATTCAGGCAACGCAGAAAGGAGGGCACCCAAGGCCATGACTATCCCTCCACATCCTATCAAGCGTGGCCGGTGTCCTCGGGCTCCGAAGTAGCTCACAAAGAGGATGAGGGCCAGGTTGCCAATCTCGAAGCTGCTGGCAATGACACCCACGTCAGCACTCTGGAGGTTGAATCGCCGCTCCAAGGTGGTTAAAACACTCACCTACAACAGAGAAATACAGAGAAAATTACATTCCGTGCCTTCCCTTCTGCCCACATGTGCTGCTGAAGTGTAAATTTCCTTGACTTTTCCTTGGAGCTGAAACCATACCCATCAAGGACATCCAAATCACAGTACAGCAGCTGACCTCCAAGCATGACCTGACTGTTCAAATACAGCCACCCCAGAAGGTCCTAATACCAAGTGACATTTCACAGCCTGCCACCTGTCCGAGCACATGTCACTTCCGAATTCCTGTGCCCATCAGTGTGCATTTTGGATGCCTGCAGACACCCATGATTCCATGATTTGTCAGTCTCCCTTTCTATTTGAAGGCACAACCTTCACGCTGCACTGTCCCAGAGAACCAAGGCACAAACCACACTGAGCTTTGCATCCCGCCAGGCACACAACCTTTCCCTTGGAATGAACTGCAGTTAGGGAGCAGCAGAAAACCCTGCAGATTAGATTCTTTGCTTGCAGACCAGCACAAGGCCATCGAGCCACTCGGAGAGACAGTGATGCACAAACAGGCAGTTCAGCTGGCATTGAATGCTTTTACTCAAGTATATAAATAAAATGCTGATCAAAGGGTTTCAACTGTTTGTGGATTAGTTAATGACTGGGATTGTCACAGAGTATTTCTGAGAAGACAGGCCAATTAAGGTTTACATAGAAGATTTAAATCCACCATGAAGAAGGGATGATTTAACAAATTGTGGGTATTTAACACTAAGAAGAGAGAAACACATGAATAGTCTTCAAATATTTAACACTCCTGCAAAAAGGAATGACCTGTTCTTTGAATTCAAAATGGATGGGACAAGAAGTGACAAGTTTAAACTGCAGCAGAGATGATTCAGTTTAGATACAAGGTGGGGAGAAACCAGATTTTACTGATAGGGAGTGTGAGGCACTGAAACATGCTGCTTGGAAAGGCTGCAGAGATCTTCAACAGAGCACAGACCAGCATCTGTCAGGGAAGACACAGGTATGACTGATCTTGCCATGGGGCAGGAAAATGAACAAGATCATCTCTTGAGAGCTCTTCCAATCTTTATTACATGGTGCAGTGAAACACAATGTGGATTTTCTGCAACAGTCACAGCACTGATCAGAGCATGGAGGATGAACCATTAAGTCCCTCAGTTGCTGTCAGCCACACCCAAGGGAGAAAATAGGGTATTCTCACGTCTGTGGCAGTGTACCTTTTCTACAGTAAAAAAGCAACAAAAGAAATCTTGAACGTGTCACAGAAATGCCAAAAACTTTTACCTTGAATAAAATACTATCTACTTTTTCAGACTGCAAAATATGAAGGTATTTAAGGTTGTCCTAAAAGAGGCAGGTTTCTCTATTCAAAAAAAAAAAAAAAAAAAAGTGATAAAGACCTTCGAGCAGAAGGTAGCCCCTGGATAGAATAAAAATAGCCTCCCACTGGAGGCACTGAAAATCTTTGCTGATAAACCTCACGAAGCAGGAGCCAGCCTGACCGACTTTAAAGTATCCTGACAGCAGTTCTTCTCCGGGGGCAGTTTGCCTCTGCTAGGGCACACCAGGGCACAGTTGGACAAAGACAGCTCCATCAGCAACAACATGGAAAATGGAAACAACAAAATGGAAATGGAAACACTTCTGCTGCTTTCCATAAGCAAAAGCTCCCAAACCTGACCGTGATAAGTGTCCAAGTCAGATCTCCAGCCTTCTTCTCATACAGGCATTTTATACCAACACCAATGTAATCCTCCCCAGCTAAAGAGCAAAGAGCTGAGGAAGGCAAGGAGAAAGAAACCTAAAAATCAAATCCTATGAATAAAGGCAGTGCAAGAGCAGTAGTTCTTCCCATGCCAGAGCCAGGTGTGCGTGTCAGAGGGAGAGGAGATCACCACTTTGCCTGCAACACCAGGTGCAGGTCCCTGTTGGGATGAAATAGCTCTGTGACTCACGAGGGACAGCGGTGTCCTCTGTGCGAGGGCACAGCACAGCCTGTCCCTGCTCCAGCAGCCTGTGCTGGAGCTCACATTCTGCAGGGACACTCTGGGAGCTGAGCAGGTGAGCAGACACATTCTTTTTCATGTTTTCAATGCTAGAAAACATTATGCTGGTGTTCTCAGAGCAAGGCACGCCAAGGAGGGGGGATACAGACAACATCCCACAGCCACAGGCAGATCCATCAGGCACCCATGGGAGAGAGAACCAGGGAATGGCTTGGATTGGAAAGGACCTTAAAGATCATCTGCAGCTCCAAACCTTTCATCATGGATAAGGATTTATCATCCATGGTTTTGTTGCAAGGTGTGGTCTAATGGGGCTGGCGCTGGGGTCCCATGAACAACAATTTTGACAGACTGAGCCATCTCTCCAAGATCAATATACAGCTCTGAGCATGCAAAATTATGTCTGTGGTGCTCATTTCTGAGCTGTACCTAGATGGGAAACTCATGATTACTCATTACAGCTGTGTAAACTGAGGTAGAGAGCCAACTATTAATGAGACAAGTACAGTCAACAAAATTAATTTCTGATGGAATAATTTAGGCTGGAAGATTGAAAGCCAACAGAAGTGATTTCCCAAGGCCAACTGGTATTAACTAGCTTTGGAAGTCTCCCACATTTTGACCTGGCTGCCAAATTTTAGGCTTCTACCATACACACATACAAGTATCTACAAAGCAGGATGGTGTTTAGAAACGTGTGGGTGCCAGATCTCAAAAGGGTCAGATTTTGGACAGCTGGGTTTGAGATACAAAAACCCACACCATTTCCAGGTGCAATTCACAGTGACAGAGACAGTAAATTGGTGACAAACTAGGGAACTAAAACCAGAGTCCCAATTCTCATTCCACTCTTATTCCAGTGGGACTTCAGCCATTCTTTTCCTTTTTACAAAAGCTAACCCTCTCACAGTAGGGAAAAAGAATCTCAACATCCCCTAACGCTTTCTTGCTTTACTTTGAGGAAAAGACTGAAACAAAAGCAGGAGGAGGACAACAACTCAGGGCAAATTCCAACTCTCTTGATAAAAGCTGGCAGTTCTCCTTATTCCTCTGGCCAGACCACACTGTATTTCCCAGTTTTCTCCTTCTGGCTGTAGCACTGCTACCCAATGCTACCAGCTCTGTCTTTGCTAAGTGGGCTATGAGGAGTAGAGGGTATGGTGAAAGAACAAATCCATCATTCCAGCCTTGAGCATCCAGAAGAAAATAGCATTCAAGTACAAAATGCTGAGACCAGCATCAGCAGAGTAGCCTCCAAAACTGACAGTCATATTGAAGGGAAAAAAAAAAAATCCCAAAATAAAAATAGGGCTGCTAACTGAACTGTCAACATGCAGATTCTTAGCTAGAGAACAACAGGAACACAACTGCATTTTATCCAGGGTGGCTGCAGCCCAGCCAGCACAGCCCAAACTCTTACTATGACATTGGCTGTGACCTTACAAAGACCAACTACAAAATCAGCATTAGCATAGCAGAGATCTTACCTGCATTTATACAAAACAAAGCCCTGCCCATGGCTAAAATCATTCCCTTACCCTCCATGCTCCACTTTTATGGGACTTCCTGCATATAAGGTTTAACCTGACTAAACCTGCATTTTCTATGTGGGATATTCCCAGTGACCTTGTAACTCTGGGATAAAAACAATGTATTGCCCATATTTCCTTTCACAATCCTGTTCCCCAGCAGACCAATCATCACCACTCCCAGACACTGTTTGTCCAGAGTTACATAAAACGTTGTAAAAGACACCACAGGTCCCTGTAAAATACTGTTGTCATGTGAAAAGGCTGTGAGGATTATAAAAGTCCCTGTGTGCTGATGCCAGGTTGATCACTCTAGAGCACAGCCCATGTGGATCCGGTTTAAGAGCAGGGACATAGGTCATGGGATGGTGCAGCAGCACAGCAGCTTCAGATGGACAGCCTCTAGCTAAAACATAGCAGGGAAACACCAGGAGCCCACAGCTGTGAAGCTGCTACTTCCTGACCCCTGTCAACTTACACAGCTGTTTAGTCAGGGATGGAGGGAGTCGACTAAGAGCGTATTTAGTTTAAAAAAGCTTCTAACTCAAGATCAAAACGGTTACCAGGAAGCAAAGACAGCAGCCAGTAACACTCATGCAGACAAGATAGAGCAGATCATGCAGCCTGACCCCAAGAAGTCACTGGTGTGAAATCACCCACAGGAGCAGACAGGTGCAGAGCAGGCACAAGGACAGAGGCAGGGCCAGCACTGTAACCATGGCACATTGCCAGCACCCAGGAAAACGGGAATGGCACTGAAACGACAGCTTCCTATGGCAACGTTCCTGCCTGCCACCCTTATGTGCACACATCTGTCCCTCAGCAGGTCACTGGGGCTCTGACCAGCCAGCACTTCAACTGCAGCACTGTACTCAGCCTTCTGAGTGCTCTGCTGCCTTCTTCCATGACTCCCAGTTCACATACTCCAGACATCTCCCACTCAGTTTTCAACAGCAGCGCCACTAAGATGTATGTAGCTCTTGGACAGATCAGCTGTGTGGCTGCTGTTTCACCACAAATTCATGCTCCTCCAGACTGGGTCTATACCAGATCAGTCAACTGGACCACTGAAAACTACACCAGTTTGGGCAGCTGCACTTCTTGCTCACGGAGAAAGCAGGCTGGGCATCTAGAAAAGATCATGTAACCCAGCCTTCTGGCTTTCTGTGAACACACTGCAACATACAACAACTAGAAGTGATTAAAACTTGTAGCATGTTTGCACTGTCTCCTCTTACTGAGCCATGGCAGGCTGCACACACACATTTGGATCAGATGACTGACATCAAACAGGCCTGGGCTAAAGGGGCCTCCTAACACCACCCCAAAACACTCTTCAATGATTAAAAAAGGAAAATGTCTCAAATGACGCACACAGTGATAAATGACCCATATCAAAGAAAAAGAAATCAATCACCACCTTAAAATTTTCCAGCCAAAGCAATTTGTATTGCAAGTTTTGTAACTAAATCCACGG